CATGACTAAACTTTCTCGTGGCCACGACATAGTAACTTGTTCCAACGACTTATTTATCTCGTGGTCACGACTTAGTAACTCGTGGCCACGACTAAGTTATCTCGTTCCCACGACTTAATTACCTCGTGGCCACGATTTAGAAACTCGTGGCCACAACATAGTATCTCGTTCCCACGACTTAACTATCTCGCGGCCACGACTTAGTAACCCGTGGCCACGACACAGTATCTCGTGCGCACGAGATAAATAAAAACACACACATGTCACCTTCGTGCCACCTTAAGTTTGATAAAATTCAATTTCACTTATCACACACGCTAAAAAGAAGTGTAAACAATTGTATAAGAGGTGAGTTGCCACTGGTAGGTTGAGTTATTAGAGACATATATAACTTTTTTTTCCACATGCTGGCGGAATCTTCAAAAACACGCACTTTTCGTCTGTTGCATCGTGTTCTCTTGTTTTTTAGTAAATTTACATGTCAGTCCCCAACTAACACTGTTCTGTATACGCCCCTATATAAAGTGGACGTTACTTTGTTTACTCCACGTGCCAAAATACGGGATCATCCGGAAAATAACGGGAGGTACCGACAAAGCGACACCTGCTGTCATAATATGAACACAAATTATTGCAACTCGCATTATGCTTACTGCCAACTGCTTAGTGCGTACTGTCACATGCGACTATAATATCGCTATCGTTGTCATCTTCGTTGCCGATGCGCAGTGATCATGTATTGCATTATATTTGTAATCAGTGAATATATTGAAGCATATGAATGCTAAGACACATCAAATCAGCCAATTATTGATCAAAATGAATAGTTTAATTTGACATAATGTCGACAATATAAGTGGCAGATTATAGCAAATTAAAGATACAACAACCATGTTACATATAGTTATAAAGAATGTTATCTTAAACACCAAACATAATACGTTGTCCTTAAAAAAAGATGCAATTAAACATATAGCATATTAAAATATGTGAGTTTGATGGTTTAGTAGGGAACACACAAGGTTGCAATTACATGAAAGTGCATTCAGTAATCATAAGGCATGATTGAATTCAGCAAAACGCAGGTTTTCATTGTCATAAAGAAGTATAGAAGCAAGCATAATGTAAGTTCCGATATCATAAAGCAAGATGGAATAAATGCATTAATTCTGTTCCATAATAATATGACACATTTCAGACAAGTTATAACGAAATTCTGACATAACACTTCTGTTTGAAATAATTAAACAATGTTAAGACAAGTCAACATTACATTTTGAAGAGATAAGACTAGTGTACGAGGGATGATCAAAAATAAACCGGACTTTGTAGATCATTCTTTGCCTGTTAAAAGCATTTACATAAATTGGAATATATCCCCTAAATGATACAAAAAAAAATCAATAAGAAATATTAGCAAATAAAAAAAGTTATGCTGTTATTGGCATGCACATGTAAAGCAATGCGGCGCACGGTATAACTTTAAAATTGATGTAAACGACGTCACAAGCGTATTGTCTTTAACGGAGCAGTTTTTTACTCATTCGCGGAGTAGGTCAATACGTGTTCCACATGTTATTGGTGGCGGCGGATCGACTGCCTATATATATATCTCTGTACAAGTCGGTATCATATTGTATTGCAATAGAACTGATGATGATAAAGAGCTCCTGTAATGACGCAAACTTTCGTTATTTACTTCTGTAACTTGATTGCTGGACAAATCGCACATGCATTAAACAATATCATGTCTTTCATTGATACAATGTTTCTGAATGATAATGTATCATGCATACATTCGAGAAAATAAAATAATAATACAACTAAAAACAAAATTTCTATTATTTTAAAATAAATCAAACGCATATTCGATTTTGAACCCTGACTGTTAAATTGTTGACACAAGTCCTCCTGTAAACTCTTACGTAAAAGAATAAAATAATTTATACAATTGTAAACCAAAAATATGATATATGTAATAAATACACAATCAATTGAAATTTTCTCCTTGTTTGCCTCTCCCTTACTTGTTTTCTATTTCTCTATTACCCTTTCTTCATCGTTTATGCTTATCAAAAACTATGTTGTGGCTTTTTGGATCTTTTCCCTTGGTAGCCATAATCTTTTTCTACGATTTAAACAGTTTCTTGCCTTACTTTTGATAAACTTTTCTTATTGATCGATTTTCGAAACGTTCGGACGACATACGTTTAACGCAGGTTTTTCTTTAACAAGTGACGTTTGAATTGTGATTGCAAATATAAATATGGTTTAAATGAAGTCTTGTTTTCTGACAACGTCAAAGATATGGCTCATGACGTTTTGGCGTATTTTAAAATCTAAAAGCGCCATATTGTAAAATATACGCATCATATAGTACCTGGTGTCAGCGCAAATTTACGCACTGCGCCGGGTGTGGGTTACCATGGTTTTTAAATTCGCTGTTACGGACAAGCTATTTGAGATATCAGATTAGATATAGCATCAGTTTACAGATATTGTTTTCCGATTAAGTGTGGTATATAACAATAAGTGATATGATGAAAATTGTTCAATTGACAGTCCCAGTCCGGTTTATTTTTGATCATCCCTCGTAACGCATCCTATGGCAATGTTTAGACAAGTCGACAAAATACTATGGCAACACAACACTAATATTTGACATAATAAGACGCTTTCTGTGCAAGATAAAAAGAAATGTAACAAGAAGAGGCAGCTATGGCGTTCCATACAAAAATATGAAAGATCCCTTGTTTTAAAAATAAAAAACAAACAATTCTAGGAAATACAAAGACACAAAATCCGGCTTTGAGTAATATAAGTGGCCGCCATTTTTTAAAGTTGTGTATTTAACGGGAGGAAAAGAACTGTGTTTGATTCAGAGGGATATCATTTGGATTTGTTAGTTATACATCTTTTTATAAAAATAAAGAAACTTATTTGAATATTGTTACATACAATACATGATTGTTGACAGATGTGTAAACATTCAAAAAGCGACTAGGAATAAGGAAAACTTGGAATTGTTGAAAGGCTGTCTTGCAAACGCTGGGTTGTTTACTTATTCTTCGGGCTGATGACCGTCATTGCTTTTCAAGTTTTCAAATTGCATTAGGCAGTTATTGCTCGTAGGATACTTAAATATGCCTTAATGTTATCAAGAGCAGTTTTGCATGTGAAAGGAAGTGTATTTTTCAGACTGTAAAAATGAAACCAAATATTTAGAGACGATATTTTGTGATTGGTAATATTAAAGAATTGAAGTAAGTTTGTTTTGTTTTTTTTTTCATTATTTGAAATTTAAGTTATTTATCAATTTCAGCTTTGCTTTTCTCTAAACAGCCCTGACAATGTCAGAATTGTCAGCAAAAATAAAATTGAGGTACCACATGGGGAAAATCTTTAAAGAGTAGTCTCGTCATTGAGAAGTGTGAAATTATATTTTGATAATTTTTACTGTGAAATTATCAAATATAATTTTCACGGATAAATCAGTAAACCACTCAAAAGCATAAAATGAATGGAAATATCAACCATCAGATGTCGCAATACGGAAGGAATCGGAAAAAAATATCTAAAGTAGAGAGAATTAAATATAATAGTTCATGGACAATTTGGTTTTGTTTAATGAGAAGAAATGTGTTGATTGAAAGCTATAACGATCACGGTGAAAGGAAGACAACTCTGCCATCAACACTCATCTCATGCTTAAAGACATTTCTACCCATAACTGTTAATGGATCTAACATCAATTATGTGCCTTGACTAAACTGTCATACAAATTAGAATTATGATATGTTGTTGTAATTTCATAAGACAACTGTACATGTTTATTTATAATAAAGTCAAAATATTTATTTGTTTGTTTTTGTTTTGCTACTTGCTAAAATCATTAATCGTTATATTTTCTTCGAAATGACTCAGTATGTGTCTTGTTAGTGAGTTTTTAACAGGTCTTTTCTCGAAAGTCTTTTAGTATTGTGTCGGGTGAACTTTAGGAAACACATCACGCGTCTGTGAATATTCATTGCATCCCAGTAAATGGTAAATGTCTGACATGACCATCAGCAAGATTGTACTTACTCTTGTCGTTTGGTTTGCTGTTGCTAATATCTTACTTTGAGAACTTTGTAAAAAGCACATGTGCCTTCGTTGATCTCAAGTTGTCACAAGGTACTGTCAGCTCGCCGCTCCTTTTCGCTTTCGACGTGACACTATCTAACAGTTCTTATGTTCAAACAACTTAACATGTTTTCCAGAAGTAGCGCATCAGAGCTTATTGAAATCATGACAGAGCAAACGATTTCTTCTTTCCAAATGCAAAAGGTATTTTACATATATTTCCGAACATACGATCACCTAGACAATTATTCCCGAACTCGTACCGCCTAATTCAGGTGGTATTGTTACAAAGCATACGACTTCTCGGTGCTTCTCTCGCAGAAACTGAGAGCAGAATTAATAAAGGATTTTTATCTGCGTACAGCAGATTCGATCATGTTTGTTTTTGTAATAATATGAAAAACGAAATGGAGTATTACAAATACAATGCATGAGTCTATGTACCACACAAACAAATCCTTGAATGTTGAAATGTATTTTTTTAAGTTTGCTGCATTTGAAGTATTAACAGAATTGTTAGAACTGCCCATTTAAAACAAATTGAAACAAAAAAGAAATAGTATCAACGTTGCCATGCCGTTATTTCTCTTTAACTTTAACATGTCTTTCTTCTAGTTCATTAGTATTTTGCTTCTTTGAGGTAAAAGTTGACGAAAAGTCTATATTTATGACCTTTTCCCTGAAACTTACTACACTTCTGATTTTGAAAAACAGTTAAATGTCAAAGCAGATACATTTGTTATCGTTTCAAAAATTAAGAACCTTGGTCTACAAACATAGAATAATGTAAGTCATACTAAAGACATTAGGCATTCGAAATACACTAAAGCTATACAAAGGATATTATTTTATTCCTTAGAGAATGTCAATGTTAAGACATGAGTTATTGCATATAATTACCAATGTAATGATACAAAAAGATGTGATAGAATGCTGTTTATATAAGTAACAGACACATGTGCGACGCCATACAATTGTTTTCAACGTAATACAATGTAAACTGCTATCGTACAGAGAGCAAACATTCTGTAGACGTTAAGACTTGTCAAACGGTTGCAACCAGCTAAAAATAAAGAAACAAAACATTTTAAAAACAGTTGAACCCCACAAAATGATTTCAAAGTTAAAATAAGTAGGCATTGTACATTCTTAACTTATTAATAAGCGTAGAAAACGTATACATTTTAAATGAATTCACTTGAATTGAAAGCTGTTCAATGTCCATAGTTGCTTTGTACTAAGATGTTTCAGAACAATCAAATGTGTGTATATGGCAAACTTTGAATACTACACGTCATTAAAGCACGTGCCTTTTTGTACTACTTTTTATGTATTATTATTATTGTTGTTAACATTAATTTTTGACAAATGAAAATGGAAAGACCATAACAAATGCTATTTAAAATAACAAAAGATTCTAGGATACAGTGGTATCAAATTAGGATTCTTCATAGAATAATTGGCACCAACTATTTTTTTACACAAAATTTATTATAATGATAATCCTCTTTGTACCTTTTGTAAAAATGAAAATGAAAGTTAATTAACTATTGAACATTTGTTTTGTCAGCGTAGTTTTGTGAAGGACGTCATATATATCTATATAACAATAAAAAATATTTTTTCATCATTAACTGCAGAAGAAATGCTTTTTGGTTTTACATATCAGACTCGACGTAATTATCGATTTACAAAATAGCACAAAATATCATGATTAGCGAAAGCATTCGTCGAATTGGACCATGACCTCAGCAAGAGATTGACTTATTTGTCCTCTTGCACTACATAAGTTCTTAAAAGATAAATGTAAGATGCACAAAGACTGACTGTATACATAAGTCACATACAAGAACATTGATAAAACTGAATAAATCTAAAATTCTTACATGTAGACCTTGCAACCTTTGCAACAAAGGCCACTTCGGTTCTTTTGACGTCGGAATTCGGAAGAGAAGCTTCACATCTGTATGGTGCATTGTCAACATTATCCGGGTCTATTACCACTGTCAATGTACTTATAGTATCACCAAAACCTGAAAAGTTAAGATATCAAAATTAAAAAGTTAATCTCAAGACCATAAATTATCGATTCAAAAAAGATCATAGATGATATCGTTTCAAATAATGTTTATATATTTGCCTTTAAATAAACACATATATTAAAAAGATATTTAATCATTCTCTTGACAAATACGACTGAATTTTTTCTTTTGAAAATCCCTATTCATAATCAAAGTGCTGCAAGCTCTGTGGTATTTTCTGATCGTATTGTATATCTGTATGTATTTTCCTGTATAAGTTTATTTTTAAACACTATAATTCATCTTTCCGAGATGCAGCGACTGCGTTTAGATTTTTACTGTAACTGTTTGAGTTTGATACATACGAAATTTTGCATGACTAGAGTTGCATCAAAAATTCATTTTTGTTCATTTTTTATGACAGCCATACTTTATCCTTGCATATCGTGGCTACTTCCTTAAAAAAAAAGACACTTAAAAATAGATTTTTCGACTGGGATTTAAACGCCAGACCTCTCACACCCTAAACGAGCGCATTACCCATGCACCACGGGGAAGTCAACGAAGAACGCTTGAATAAAATCAAATAATTCTACATTTAGAATTTCCATTTCGGGTTGGTAATCCTTATTAATTTCGAGGTATTTTGTTCACGATAAGCCTGTTGTTTGACACGAATGTAAATAATTAAGCCAAAATCTTCTCGCCAAAACAATCCGACATGTACGACATGTATATATTCCACTACTCGACATCCAGATTTATTTGTGTACTACGCTCTGAAGTATTCGGTAATCGACATCGCTAAAAATAGCATTTTCATTGATTAAAATGATATTCATCCGCGTATCTTGTGAATGTGCATTTATTGACAATTCTATCAGCCAACGCTACTTTTAAACTTTGAATGCGTTGTAATTTGTTGGATACTTGTAACAAAATAAAAATATTTCTTTTTTACATCGCTAGCTTTAAGCTGTTTTGAGAACTAGGTTTGTCGTGAAATTCTGTGCCAGAGATTGGATGTCAGCATTGTATTTCCTGATCTGCGATCAGAAAATACAAAAATCTTGTTAGCATGTGCCGTAAATTAAAAAAAAAATAATCTCGTATTCCTGATGGTTTTAATGCACTTGGCTTCTTTGAAACGTTAGTGATGACACGGTCTGTAACATGTAACTATGATAAAGTTGCGAAGCATGTTTAATGAATAAATATTAAAGATACCGTCTTCACTAGATGACTTCTGGCAAGTAGATGACAATGATGTGAGTTCTGTCTGTCCATGATACCACGTGACGTCTGCTGGGGGTCTGCTGTGCATCACGTGACATGTTAGATTCACAAGTCTCTCCTCCGTGAATGGTGGATCGATACCCCAGGTCAATGTCATGTTTGCCATTTTTACTAAAAGATGAAATTTAAGATTTGAAAATGACCTTTTTCTATAGACCTTTGTGAACTGAAATTCCAATGTTCATTTGAAATGTAATATGAGCTTATAAATCTAAAGGTGCGCAATTCCTGACATGAACCGGACTTGAAATAAGGAAAGACTCAATTAGATCAAATTTTCCTCAGAAGGTGTTTTGCACTCTTGTGAATGCCTGGATCTGGTGCAAGAACATATGTTCAAATGCTATGCTTTTAAAGTAGCTGTGAAGAAAATAGATTCTTTACCAATCCTTCGTACAATGAAAATTTTTGTGAATGACGGATCTTTACAATTTGACATTTATTTCACACCATTTTTACCGACACAAAACAAGAGTGTGTGCATGAACTATTTTAGTATTACCATATAGCAGTCTACTGCTCATAATTGTTTGTCAGTCTTTGTTATAATTTTCAATATCATATATTTATTTTAATCAAGATTTACTTTTTATGATAAACTATCATTGTCATGAACTTCAACGGTTTCATTTTAGCATAACGTTCAACATATTATAGACAAATGATTACTAATTTTACCGTTAACAGTTAACATCGCCCTGGCCCTGTCTATCCCAGCCTGGCATTCGTACCAAGCCTCGTCTTCAAGAACGACATTATGAACGGTCAGAGAATATGTGCCTTGTACCGAGTATTTTGTATCATTAACACTTTTACCATTATACGTTAGAACATCAACAAAACCCGATAAGGAGACCTAGTGAAGTAAAAAATATATGAGCCGCGTCACGACAAAACCAACATAATGGGTTTGTGACCAGCATGGTTCAAGACCAGCCTGCGCATCCGCGCAGTCTGATCAGGATCCATGCTGTTCGCTAACCAACTGTATTACAAGTAGAGGAACTGATAGCGAACAGCATGGATCCTGATCAGACTGCACGGATGAGCAGGCTGATCTGGATCCATGCTGGTCGGAAACGCACTATGTTGGTTTTGTTGTGGCACGGCTCATATAAAGAAGATCAACCACATATTTGAATACTAATACTATAACACATACTTTCCAAAGGAAGCAAATTACATTGTATGAGCTTTTAAGAAGAGCAAGCAAATAGCATACTAACTACGATATATTCCAATTATCTTTAAAAAGAAATTTACGTTTATAAATAATTTGAAAAATAATATAATAAATGAAGTTATAAGAATACTGACAGCATTAATCTAGCTTTAAAATATAAGAGCGAACAATGGTGACAACGTGGATGCATTTGACTCTACTGGACAACCGCTTGAAGAGTTGAATTATTAGTTGTTTTAAGCGAATATGCACTGGACATTTTTTGGGAATTCGATCGAAATATAAGATACAAGTTATTAGTTATTAAATTTGTAAAAGCAACGTAAAGTGCTTACGACATCCTTTAAAATTTTGATAAATATATAATCCAAATACGGACACAGATTCAAATTACAAAAGTCCTTGATACAGCCATTTATTTTCAAAGCAGCATAAAATGGTAAGACAAATGATAAATAAAGTACATTTGACAAACACAATATAGAAAGTTAAGTTAAGAACAAGATTGCATACCTTTTTCCAAAACACAAAGTCAGTCGACCGCTGTTCAATGACGTTGCAGAAAAATTTAGCGTCACTTCCTTCTAACACTGTAACGTTAGTTGGTGCATTGCGTATCATTACCGAATAAACATGGGTCACTAAAATACAGAGAAAATATCACAAAATATATTTTTTCATGAATAACATAGCACAGTTTTGTTCTTTCGCTTGCACAGGAATATTAATATTTTATAAATGCAAAGTAAAAAAATAACATTTTTAAGACGAATATGCTTGTCATTAAAAAAATGTTAAATGAATGGAATAATAAAAAATAAATATTTACTGATCTTTGCAGAAAAGATAATAATACTGGTACATCTCTAAAAAATATTATTTAATTTAAGTGGTCCAGAATCTATTCTTCAAATTATTTTGCTATAAGAGTTGTCTTGTTTTCGACATGAAAATATATTGTACATAATAGAGAAAAAAAAACTTACTATTAACCAAATAGAATATAAAAATCTTCAAAATGCATCTCTTGAAAAGCTTGATTTCGATGTCTTCCATTTTTTTCTGTCATTTGATTTTCAATCCGTTACAAATGATATCCAGTTTCATTAATTTAGCATCACTTTGTTCAAACTTTGTTCAAACGTTTACATAACGGATTAACAAAATTTGTCACTTTAATATTTGTTTACTTTATTCATGATATTGAAACTAAGCACAGTATAAGTGGGTGTATTTCTAATCTGTATCGTATTGGCAAATAATCTATGAATCCAAGAAGCTAATTACATCGTCACGATACATAAATATTAGATTTTTATTAATAATATTTGATACGTTTAAGAAGAAAATGTTAATAAACTAAGGGAGGCTAATCTGTTAAGTATTTTCTTTATTTTGTGTACGAGTTGTTGTTACTTGACACTTGTGTTTGACACGTCTTCTATATTATTAATAAATTTATTTAGGACTGAACACTTTAACAGTCTCTTGCCCCTTCCGGTAAGGTAAGAAAATGGGATCAAAAGGTTAAGAAAATAAGCACTAAAATATAGACAGGAATATTAAAGTAAAACCACCAAAAATATATTTTGAAAAATCATTTTGTAATAATTAGACATCAACAAGGGAAAAAGCTTGCAAATTAAATTCGTGTTTCGTCAGACATTTTAGAATAAACAGAACGGAACGGAAATCATCGAAAATTAAGATTAACAAACAAACGCTGAAGTATGTACTATTTTATTGTTAAAGGCTGTAACAGGATATACATGAATAATATTTTTATGTGTTTTTATCACTTTGAGCATTTTTCAAAGAGACGGATGCGCATACTAATACACTCATTGCAGTTAACGTATATATACATATATCATGGTAGTAAAACTGTCATTTGTGAAAATAAAAGAGGAAAATAAAAGACGTAAAACAATGGAGTTTCCTATTAAAATCATAAAAGTATATTTTTCAATATTATACTTGTCTGATGTTTATGTTACACTTATTTAATTCATCTAGGGCACAACAATGGTTCAAATATGACCAAGCCACTGGCAAAATTAAAAGCACGGAAAGTCGTGGATATATAGAACATCTATAATCTTGGGAAATTGACTGTCAAGAGTGTTGAAAATCATTATCAGTTTGAAAATGTATTTAATCATAGATATAGAGATAAGTCAATTTTGAATATTCTTTTTTACCGGACGTCATGGATTTCTCATACCATATGAGCCGCGTCACGACAAAACCAACATAGTGGGTTTGCGACCAGCATTGATCCGGACCAGCCTACGCATCCGCGCAGTCTAATCAGGATCCATACTGTTTGCTTACAAACCCTATTACAAGTAGAAAAACTGATAGCGAACAGCATGGATCCTGATCAGACTGCGCGGATGCGCAGGCTGGTCTGGATCCATGCTGGTCGCAAACCCATTATGTTGGTTTTGTCGTGACACGGCTCAATTATCAGAAGTTCCTGCCTAAAGTTCAGTTTAACACAGTCAACTGCTGAAGTATTACGACAGAAAAATATGTCATCTAGAGGCCATTAATTTCAAATGTTGGGACTTCGGGGGTACATATATTGCATGTTATTAGGATATCGTAAATTAAGAAAACAAGCATCAACAATACACTTTTAATTTAGGTCATGTTTCATACAAATTTTGATAGCCATGACCAATACATACCATACATATAATCCAAATAGTTGAACAAGTCTTAAAAATCTTAACAATATCATTTTTATCAAATTATATATAATTATAAATATAATATGACCGAGAACTAATACATGATACCTTCAAAAATGTGTTCCGTCTTAATTTAATGTTTGTTGGCATTTTAATCATAACATTTTCAGAATCACGTCTGTTCGCTTACAAACCCTATTACAAATATACAATAAGAAATAGTACACAGCATTTCATACCTCATAAAGATAAAGTAAATAAAACATTGAACTGACTTTAGCAGTCACAATAAAATGTCATAATAATGCATGGAGTCCCTAATTGATGTGTACTATCTCTTTATTTGTCATTCAAGTAAATGCACATTCATACAAATTATTGAAATTATGACCACTAAAAATTTTAAAGCTCATCATTTTTTTTTTCATTTTCATTTTTACTTGACACCATTAATTGAGATGGTCATCTAATTACAAAGCATGGCTCATTTCATTTTTAAAAATGAATAATCAACAACATGTGTAGGGCCTGCTCTTGCTAGTTCTTCACATTTTGTCCAGTTCCTTTTCTCTTCATGTTTTTTCTTTGCTGTAGAACTATAATTACATCAGCTGATAATCAAAGTTCTGATAGATTTCTAAAAATACCAACCTTACTACAATAATAATAGTACAGTCAGGTTGTGTATTATTGTAAGTATGTATATATTCGTTCCTGTGGCAGTCATTATTATAAATTTAATTTATTTGCACACACAAAAAAAGAACATTTGGACCTATTTGTAACTTGCATCTATTAAACTTAAAAGAGACTCTGACATCTGTGTTTACAAACATGTCAAATTCCTGATATTTTATCTAAAATAAACATTTTGCGAAACCATCCCGTTAACTTCGATTCTGTCTAGTTTATCTTGTTAAACGGATAGATAAGATTTGTTTTAACTATGTGTTGTTTTAGGAATAAGTTATTGCAGTTATTCAGAAGTAAAACATTCGTTCTTTTTTTCTTACATATTTCTTGCTAGTGTAAAACAGCATTATCAACTTATAACATATATTTCTTTGAGGTTAATTGTTAAGATACAAAAACAACTTATTTTCTTTATCTCACATTAAATAGTTACTAATGGATGACATGGATTTATTCTTCGAACATGAGTATATCTCACAGACTCTTTATAGTGGCCGTCAGATGAGGAATGCTGGTTCCCTTCTCCTCCACTAAAACGTTACAGTCGGAATACTCAGATATCATTGATCCGTCATCAAACTTCATCACAGCACTTCCCGGCATAAACAATGGACGCTTAAACGCACAAGAAACCTCGTACCGTCCATCTAATGTTATCTCAAAACCTGCGTTATATAAATAGTACGGTCAATAGTTAGAATTTTTTGTAGTTTTATCTTAATTTAAAATTTTCATAAATGTCATTTTCGCTGACACGAGGTTAGTTGAGTAGGAAAGAATTCAGTGTTCTACAAAAATAATAAAAAGCATTCGCTGATGATGAAAAAGAAACAGCATAATGTTATTGACAGAAAGTATAGTTGACCATACGCCAGTTAATCAAGCGTCTTGTTAACACAGAGTACCTGTACATCTAAAACAGGCAAACGCTTTTATCATTTAAAAAGCACATGCACTTCGCTTTATTGACAAGCTATTAGGAGCAGGGGATCTGAAATTATATATCGTGAAGTTTATTATGACCAAAAGCATTATCCAAATTATTTCAAAAGCTTTTACACAAACAGTATTGCTAAGCGTTAGTCAAGGATACATGACAAAAATTGAAGAAAAAAAAGAGTTTGCAGTTAATTGCTCATAATATCGATTAATTTAATGTAAATGTTAGTTTCCAAAAGGACAGTCAATGACAATTTCAAAAATGTCCAGTAATTTTCATCGGGTCACAGTTAGAAGATGTTAAAGACTTCTGAATTGTTGTTGATGTTTATATAAAACGTTCACAATGGGCATATTCCAGTGAAAATTTCAAATAAAATGATAAAAACGATAGAAATGTGTTAGAAAAATGTTTCTAGATAGAACAATGGTAAATTAGTAACGAACATAATTATACATGTATAATAATATACAATAATAATCTATTGTAGAACACTATACTATATATTATCTGCTATAATTATGTTATATCAGATCATGTATCACCAATTTGTGTCACATATTTACATAAACTAAATAATAAATATAATTGATATTATAGTTTTTATGTTAACGTTAAAAGTTCGCAAAAATAAATCATTAAAGGAACTCCACTTAGGTCCTACAGCCTAAAAACACAGATTTTTTTCACAGATTAACTAGGACACTTACAACAGAAAACCATGCAAATTTTAGTTAAGAAATATATTTAGACATAAAATGAAACTCGTATTTTTATGATATTCATAGCCCGATGGCAGTGAAAAACGTTGCAACGCTTTTGAATTTGGTTCAATTTTCGCAATTAGAATAATTGCGGAAAAACAGAGTGAGCAAATGATCTCAACGTTTGCACACAAGTTATTGGTCTAGACCTACACTAACTGGAACATTATTCTTTAAAGGCATATTTCTAGACCCGTCATGTCTAAAAACCTCAGTTGAGTCCCTTTAATAAATAAAATATGTTATTAAGAAAATTTATGACACGTATTTGAATAATCGGTTCATTATATACCTAGGAAACTTTAATGTTCGTTTGGAAATTAGCATTAAAGGAAAAACAAACGTGGAATAGAAAATAAAAAGCGAGATACACACGCTCTTGTAGTTTTGCAATGGCTCTAGACAATGTCCACATGCCATGTGCTATAGGTTTTTGGTATCCTAGCAACCACGCGCTCCACCTATACAAATGATGCGGATTCCAGTCACCCGTTAACTTAGCATAGTCGACCCCGCAGCTTGCTGGCACCTCAAAATCGTCATCGAATCTATAGATGATTTCTTTATCTGAAATCACAGAATGCACTCTCATTGTGGCGCCGTTATATGTCGCAACGCCGCTAAATGTCGCACTTGCCGCTAAATGTCGCACCATTGACGCTAAATGTCGCAACCGCCGCTAAATGTCGCAAAATCATTTGCCGTTAAATGTCGCAATGTTAACGTTAAATGTCGCACGAATTTCCCTTACCGTTAAATGTCGCAACACTACCGTTAAATGTCGCAAGATGTAATTTTATGTTGAACTCAAGTTTTATTGTTGGATCATATTAATTAAATCTGCCTACTCAATTTGAAAGCGAGTGAATTTATTATATATGGAACTGCGCTACAATTTAGGCGGCGATAAGACTCATCTTGTAAATAAATGTATATTGTTTTGCGTTCGATTTTTAGCTGATCTTATACAAGTACATTGTACATATTGATACAATTGTCTACTATTTGAATGAAACTGCAAAATTGGCATTGTTCTGTAAATAGTTTAGTACAATTGTGTCTGTAAAATGGCAGAAAAGACAGGCTGCCTGAGGTGGCAGTCTGATGGCCTAGTTGACTGAGGAGGCAAATTGTCTCGCTGTCGGAAGAGGAAGCCTAAATTGCTGACGACCTGGACCTTAAGAGTTTGCCTAACGCCCTGTAAACCTAACGTTGGTAGCCAAGTATCCTGAGGAGGCCGCCTAACATCCTAACAGCCTATCGATGTCAGCTTTGCAACCTGAAGTTGGCAATCTAACAGCTTAGAGTCGGCAGCCTAGTAGCTTAAAGTTAGTAACTTATATTATAAATATGGAAACAATTTAAAATACAGTAAAATCACTATGAAAGGTCGTGCAAAAGCACATACACATGCATGATTATGGAAAAAAAACGCCTTTACCTTTAGGGCACTTAACTTTGTAGTCTTATAGCCTAAAGCTGGAGCCTGGCAGCCCAAAATTGGTGTCATGTTTTAAAAAATGGAACGATCAAAATAATAAAACGACAAGTTGGATTTTTCCTAAAATCTACTTGTACAAAGTGCTTCATAATTTACACATTTATTAATCAATACAATAAAGTTGATCATGGCAAGTAACATAATTATTGCATACATTTTAATCAAGTTATTGCCATTTTCAACAGTTTGAGAATGAATATCGTTAACCTAAACCAGCAAGTTGGATTTATTTAAGTACTGTCTATACTTATATATTCATAATTTCCACACTTACTTATTTAGAAAAAGTTCATGAATGCCATCCATTTTCCCAAGTTATATTCCTTTTTTTCACTTTGAAAATAGGACCTTGTATGGTTAACCTATTCCGGTAAGTTGGATTTATCTTAAAAATTTATTTAATGATATCTTCCATATCTGGTAGGTGAAAGCCATTAATGGCCGTGTTTTTTATGGAGTAAAGAGTCTCTAGTGTCAAGGTCACTGGTGTGAATTTTTTACAACATTTTTGCCCATTAAGCTTTTATTGTTAAGATTATGTATTTCATGTTTAATACAAACATGCCAAGGGAGGTCCTCTTCCTTTGGGTTTAATTGGGGGTCCTGTGGGTAAAGGCCAAAGTCACCAATGCCAAAATAGATTTTTACATGTTTACATGTGTTTTAACATTATTCTTTTGAAAGAGGTCTTTTATATTTGGTAGGAACATGGAATTGAGGTCTTCTCCTTTGGATGGAGTTATGGTTCAGTTGGGTCCAGGTCACCAGTTCTAAAATAGATTTCTACACTTTTACAGCCTTTATTTATTGACAAATGTATTTCATATTTTGAAGGTAGATAACTTGCATGGTATTCTTCCTATATATTGAGGAAGGGATCAATGGGCCATGGTCACAAATGCTAAAATAGATTTTAATTTGCAGGATGAAGTTCACACAAACAGTTTATGCTTTTATCAAATTTGCTAGTCGTATGCGTGTTTTTATTTCCATTTTAACGCTAAAAGGGCAGTGGTCATTCATATTATTGTTGCAATAAATTAAAAAGATGTTTTCTTTACACATCTGTTCCATTTGTTTTTGTTTTGAAAAATAAAGTTCTTAAAATTATCTTAAAATAAATACACTATTGTGCGTATGTTTGTATTTATGGTCATTTGAACTTCACTATGACGTAGTCGACATGCGCATTTTAGAAAGAACATAAAAGTGGTTACAGATATCTAACCAATATCGTCGTTACATATGTACGAGTATAATTCATGTCTTGTGTTTTTCGAAAAATGTCAGATTTAATTTCAATGAAATATTTATCATGAAGCGTTACAGATTAAGATTTTCATTACAGCAAAGCAATGATATAAAAAGCCTAAATTCTCTTTCCAAAACGGCTAGCTGTCTTCAGCCAAACAGCAAGGCCAATATGAGCTTTATCAATTTTATGTATTCTTATTTTATGGTATTTACTGAGAATCTTTCATAGTATAAAGCGACTTGACGAGTAAAATATCACTTGCCACAATGTCAAAGCGTAAATAGTGTTTGACAAATCGTAAAATGTACTAAATCTTGTGTACTAATTTTAACTTTGACATCTGCTTACTGTGTGTGGATTTGCGTTTATTTATACTCCCCACCGGTTGACCATATGGGCGAGTCCTCCAGGAGAGTACACGTCATTTTATATTTTGGAGGATAGCGCAATTACAGATATAGAAAGATATGCCCCGATTTCAGAAGCTTCCCCTTCTTTAACGTGCCAAGTTGTTTTAGCACCCATACACGGTACATAAAGTATCATCCGAAAGACTGATCAGTAACTTTAGTTGGCCAGCCTGGGAATAGAACCAACAAGGTCGAGGTTACAAGTCTCGCGCTCTATGCGGGCTGGCTGCTTACAAAAATTCCGGTGCATATAATCGTAAAATTCGCTCATATCTAGCACCCGACTGCGGATCGAATACTACATGACCAAAGAGTACTACATGATATGAGCCGTGTCACGACAAAACCAACATAATGGGTTTGCGACCAGCATGAATCCAGACCAGGATCCATGCTGTTCGCTATCAGTTTGACAAAGCGGATGCGCAGGCTAGTCTGGATCCATGCTGGTCGCAAACCCATTATGTTGGTTTTGTCGTGACACGGCTCATATTTTTTTGATTTTCGTATTGACCGTGTTTTTTCACGTAATTGCCGTTACTGTTAAAATAAAAAATTTGCCTTGATATACAATCAATATTTCTCGTTTGAAGTGAATATTTGTGATGTTTCTTTTTTGAAAATATAAAAAGGGAGATATTTTAGAAAAAGTACCTTTCAGGGTCATCTGTCCTTTAGAAATGCATTAGTACTTTCATATATTTTAAGTTTAAAGTGAATATGTTTTAAATTAGCCGTAACCAAAAGGTTAATCAGGGCGAAAACATCTTAGAAAAATAAGGGGAAACTTTTGCAAAAATATAACTAGGATTATCTGCCCTTTTGATATTGCATCATATGATCATAGTAAACAACTAAACCACGTTTAAAGTAAATTCTGTTGTTTCTGAGAAAATAAATGAAATTACTTAAACCAAATTCTGAGATTGACAATACCATAATACCTTAAAGTTTAATCTGTTGTCAATCAGGGTTACAAATGAAAATGTTGAACGAGAGAAAAATACTTATCTATTGAGAATTAAGTATCAATTATCCTTTCTAACCTAAAGATTACATTATATAGTAGCTTAAAACCTCGATATTTATGTTCGCTAAAAAAAACAAGTAAGACAATTTTTGTGTAATGGCAATTACAATAAAAATAATTATGAGAATGTTAAAAAGTAATATAATTCTGCTTTAAACATGATTTTAACATGAATTTACATCTTGCGACATTTAACGGTAGTGTTGCGACATTTAACGGTAAGGGAAATTCGTGCGACATTTAACGTTAACATTGCGACATTTAACGGCAAATGATTTTGCGACATTTAGCGGCGGTTGCGACATTTAGCGTCAATGGTGCGACATTTAGCGGCAAGTGCGACATTTAGCGGCGTTGCGACATATAACGGCGCCACACTCATCTATTTTGTTAAGGCTATAAGCTTCAAGGCCATTGTTCAACAAAAAATTTAAAATTCAATTATAATTACATACATACAGAGTTTGAGAAAAGTAAAAATTATTCACAAAATTCATGTAGCTCTTTGCACTTCATAGGAAAAAAATACAGATTGTTAAATCTATCAACTTCTATCTTACTTGGTTACTTACAGAGTAATATTTATGCTTGCATGGTTGTAATACGATGAATTGTTTACTTTATGCAAGAATTCATTACTTTAATCATTCGATTATAAAATCTTTATATCTTTAAAAGTTATAAACAAAGTTAGTTTAGGAAACTACATGCATCAATAAACATACATATTTATATAAGTTAGTGTTCGTTCGTTTAAAAACATGTAGTGCATGGCCTTCGTTTGATGTTGCTAAATTTAAGCGTTTAATTTTAGATTTATGTGACTGAAAAGCTATTTTCTGTTGGGCAACAAAAAGATAATCGATTAATGAACAAATAAATCAAGTATAAAATTTTTCAAAGTACGTTTTAATATTATTGTTGTTGAATTACTAAAAGTTCTTTCATTTAGCTGATCATATATTAATGTGGTGTGTTAACAGTACCGTGGTTTCTTCGTTCTGGTCGTCCTCTCGATTTTCCCTGTTTAGCTCGGGACAGAAGCGTCATCGTGCCTTCCCAGACACACGTGCTACCTACCATAGTCCGCAGGTTAATATCTACCTCGATTCCCCTCTCATTTTGCCTGAAAGAAAAATAAAATATCGCATCAAACAACATCAGTAATTGCTTATCGATTTAAAAGAAATGAGCCGCGTCACGACAAAACCAACATAGTGGGTTTGCGACCAGCATGGATCCAGACCAGCCTGCGTATCCGCGCAGTCTGATCAGGATCCATACTGTTCGCTATCAGTTTCTCTACTTGTTATAAGGTTTGTAAGCGATGACCTGATCAGACTGCGCGGATGCGCAGGCTGGTCTGGATCCATGCTGGTCGCAAACCCATTATGTTGGTTTTGTCGTGACGCGGCTCAAATAACGTTCATTTTCATAAGTATGCAGAACAGGTCACCGATCATTGTGATTTTGTAATGCGAGAATTTTTAGTTGTCAAGAATTTGTTAACCCTCCAACTTATTTAATCCCTCAAACTAGTTTTGACATATCATAATGCCCTACATAGTCAATCGAATCGAGCGTTCAGCATTTTCAGTTTTGCCGTTTTTTGAGTGTTCGTTTTGAAATTTTTTTCAATTTAAACTGTTTAAACAGCAACATATCAATGAAAATAGAAAATACATACCAACGAATGTGACAATTATTCATTTTAAATCAAATAGACCAACTTTTGTTGAATGAGTTTAACATATCAATTATCGTTAAGTCAATCATATTTGCTCGAGCCTTTCTGTCATGCGTAGGCATACTTCAATGGATAATATCCGAAATTGAAACATATAAGTTGTTCATGTAGTTATAAAATATATGTTCCTTACCTATACTGTTTTACCGATAATTCAAGAGTAAATTTGGCTTTCATGTATTCTTGTAACGGAATCCACTGTTTGATATTCTGCCGGATATGTATCAGACCTTAAAAAACAAATGAGCCGCGTCATGACAAAACCAACGTAATGCGTTTGCGACCAGCATGGATCCAGACCAGCCTGCGCATCCGCGCAGTCTGATCAGGATCTATGCTGTTCGCTATCAGTTTTTTCACTTGTAACCACTTGTAATAGACTTGGAAAGCGAACAGCATGGATCCTGATCAGACTGCGCGGATGCGCAGGCTGGTCTGGATCAATGCTGGTCGCAAACGCATTACGTTGGTTTTGTCATGACGAGGCTCAAATAAGAATGTAAATCAATTAAATACTCACTGTTCTGGCTGTTTAAATTGTTTCGAATATACAATCTGCCTTATATGATGATGAACAAACTGTTTTGTAGATTGCAATTGGTGAGTGAATAAACAGAAAACTAGCTTTTAATAACTATTTAACCCTTAAAAAAGGTCAATAAAATCGAAGAAAAAATTAAAACCTAAAAGAACGTCCAAATGGCATTGAAGGACACAACTTGTAAATAAAACTGACACAACTAACAGTTGCCCTCTTTTTTTAAAAGCAAGCAAAGTATAAACAACCTATGTTTAAGAGACTAAACAATTCCACTTATTTTATTTGTGACGACTGGTTTCGACAAAGAAGTGTAACTGTACACGAAAATGGTAGGAAATACTTTACCGATTGGTGAAAGGGCGAACTTTGAAGATGTGATCAATGCTATCAAAGGTTTCATGAATAACGTTTCTGCATAGCAAAATGGTACTTCGCCATCGTTTGGGTTGTACCTGCATAGGGCCTTGTATTTCGCTAAATGCTCTTTATCAATCCTAAAAAGAATACATCGTATGTTAGTTAGACATAATCAAAAGTACTTTAATCTCGCTGAAGGCTTACCATTTTTGCTTGTATGCAACATTTATAAATATCAAATAAATGGCTTCATGATGCATATAGGTCTATCTAAACACGATTCATGTAGACAAAATATCAAACCTACATGAAGCCAGGGTCTTTCAAATAGAAACGAATAAACAACGAGGTTTGTTTTAAACATGACATTTTATCAATTTTGCATCTTCATTTACATAAATTGATATTCGAATGCAATATCCGTCAAACGTTTAATTATCAGTTCAAAGAAGAAGCTCGCCTTCTGTACTTTAGACTTTATACTATGTTCGTGAAGTTAGCCGGACAGCCGGAACAGCCGGAGCAGCCGGAACTCATTTCGTCTACTCGGGCTACTCCGGCTAGCCGGAATCCGGTTCCGGCTATACAGGCTGGCCGGAAATTATACGGTAAAACCTGTGCAAAAGACCATTGGCTAATTCCATAATGTAATGTCAAATTACTTATCACAACAATCTCCGGCTATTACGGCTAGCCAGAAAAAAAAACAGAAATCAAGGCTACATAAGATGAAAAAATTTATCTGACAGCAGATTGAACAATATAATTATGTGTCGTGCATTGTGTGTCCGGGTGTCCGCGGGTATAGGTGTGTCCGTCGGGAATACTCTGGTATTTTGCCGACGGTGAGCCGAAAATCGTTCTAGACAGCTCGTATCTGGCCAATTCCGGCTGGCCCCTGTGGGGACCAGACTCAATTACGCAGAACCCCACATGGTGGGATGGTTAGGGGGTCTGACCGGGTGTCCGCGGGTATAGGTGTGTCCGTCGGGAATACTCTGGTATTTTGCCGACGGTGAGCCGAAAATCGTTCTAGACAGCTCGTATCTGGCCAATTCCGGCTGGCCCCTGTGGGGACCAGACTCAATTACGTACAACCGCACATGGTGGGATGGTTAGGTGGTTTGACCGGGTGTTCCGCGGGTATAGGTGTGTCCGTCGGGAATACTCTGGTATTTTGCCGACTGTGAGCCGAAAATCGTTCTAGACAGCTTGTATCTGGCCAATTCCGGCTGGCCCCTGTGGGGACCAGACTCAAATTACGCAAAACCGCACATGGTGGGATGGTTAGGTGGTCTGACCGGGTGTCCGCGGGTATAGGTGTGTCGTCGGGAATACTCTGGTATTTTGCCGACGTTGAGCCGAAAATCGTTCTATACAGCTCGTATTTGGCCAATTCCGGCTGGCCCCTGTGGGGACCAGACTCAATTACGCAGAACCGGCACATGGTGGGATGGTTAGGTGGTCTGAACGGGGTGTCCGCGGGTATAGGTGTGTCCGTCGGGAATACTCTGGTATTTTGCCGACGGTGAGCCGAAAATCGTTCTAGACAGCTCGTATCTGGCCAATTCCGGCTGGCCCCTGTGGGGACCAGACTCAATTACGCAGAACCGCACATGGTGGGATGGTTAGGTGGTCTGACCGGGTATCCGCGGATATAGGTGTGTCCGTCGGGAATACTCTGGTATTTTGCCGACGGTGAGCCGAAAATCGTTCTATACAGCTCGTATTTGGCCAATTCCGGCGGGCCCCTGTGGAGGACCAGACTCAATTACGCAGAACCGCACATGGTGGGATGGTTAGGTGGTCTGACCGGGTGTCCGCGGGTATAGGTGTGTCCGTCGTCGGGAATACTCTGGTATTTTGCCCGACGGTGAGCCGAAAATCGTTTCTAGACAGCTCGTATCTGGCCAATTCCGGCTGGCCCCTGTGGGGACCAGACTCAATTACGCAGAACCGCACATGGTGGGATGGTTAGGGGGTCTGACCGGGTGTACGCGGGTCAATAGGTGTGTCCGTCGGGAATACTCTGGTATTTTGCCGACGTTGAGCCGAAAATCGTTCTATACAGCTCGTATCTGGCCAATTCCGGCTGGCCCCTGTTGGGACCAGACTCAATTACGCAGAACCGCACATGGTGGGATGGTTAGGTGGTCTGACTGGGTGTCCGCG